TGTACATTTGATGTGTGAAGGAGTGCATACCAAAAGTATATGTTGCAGTAAAAATATCTTAAAGCACACTTTTTCTCAAGGTGGCGATATTATGGACCCTGGTGATATTATGGACACAGATGTTACATGTACATTTTTGTTAGAATCCAATCGTTTTTTTTTGTGGTAATATCTTGATCAGTCCTATACATTTGCTTCACTTGTTCATTGATTAATTATTATTGTATTTAATTCTATATGTTAATTCGTCCTTAGCTTGTCTCATGTATTACGTATATTATTGTCTGGTGGCGACATGAATATAAGTGTACCTTGAGTGTGTCGCCACGACCTATTGTCCTGACTACTACAGGCAGACAGCTCAGGAACAGCAACACTTTGCCTAAAGCTACGCTTGAAAAAGTCGTTTTACATTGTGCAGTAAGACTTTACAATGACAGTGAGAATGGCTTAATGGCTGAAAACCCATGTCTGCTCTTTCCTGTTGTAGAGTGAATGGTGTTTGTACATACATGTATTTGCATAAAGTGTGTTTCTGTTTACTAGTCTTGTTTTTTTTAACCAATTGTTTATAAAAATCGATTACACAGTCCAGGGGTGCAACAGCATTCCCTGCATTTGTATGATTTTGTCTGACTGAATAAATTGAATATGTTTCCATAAAAAAAGGGTGGGCACCGGAGGACTACCCAGACCCCATCAGGCTGCCGGAGTTGTGTGGGAGAGTCAACTGGACAGCCAGCTTCGTTTGCGACCCTGACGGAATACTCACATCGTCAGAAGGTAGTGATTATTCAGAAACACAAAGATAAATACAAATGAAAGGACACGGACTAAGTGACTGCGAACTCAAGTTAGGTACAACTAATATTCTCGCAGCCACTTTTACAATAGAAAAAAAAAAGGATTTTACAAGACGCCAAAAAGCAGTTACTCAAGCACTGGATATGATCTTTTACCTTATTGGGGTAAGTCCCAATTCTGTATCTAAGTGTTGGAAGTTAAAGCTTCGTCTTTATTTCATAATGATTTGTACCAACACAGATGCATTGCCGTTTTATGTTTCAATAAAATATTTCGAGAGCTCATATTTCAACTGTCAGCTGATCTTTTCAGCCCAATGACCTAGATATCCACTTTTGAATGTCCAAAGTGTACTCAGCATAGAGTGCCTGCTCGAAACCTGTTTTTTTTTCTGTGTTTTTGGCGACGCCTCAGGGGGGAGCCTAATGGTACAGTATTGTGTGCAGTTTGCAAGAATTCTAGGAATTGCACAGGCATTTTTTTCCACAGGAATGGAATGTCTACAGGCATGTCTGGGATTTTGCTGACACACATCTATGCCCACATTCCTACGTAGTGAAATTCCAGGA